TAAATCCGTGACTTATAATTATGAATATGTGACCAATCGTCGGAAAAGTTGTCGGAGAAGAGTGGTGGTCGGAATGGTAGTCGAAATAGTCCCGGAGCAGTAGGGATGGTGCAAGTGGGGTGGGTAAATTATATTATATTAAAAAAAAACCACTGATTTTTGAATTTTCAAACTATAAACTTGATTTTTGAATTGGTGTAAAGTAAACACCTTATTTATGAATTTTTCTCATGGCTTAAGTTGCCTTGGGTCAGGGCCGGCCTTGGCGCTAATAGTACTAAAACTATAAATTAATCTTGTTTAACACAAAATATATTGAAATATTTTTTAGTATTCGAGTATTGAAAATGTGTAATGTTGAGTGAGTTGCGACCATAGTGACTTTTAGGTAAGCGTCAGCCAATGAGCAATTTGATAAGTTGTTCATGATGGACGGACCATCCAACCAAACCTTTGTCACGTGGACTAGGTTTTCTCGCATAGCAAAAAAACTTGAAGACAATGTAGGCAACAAATTATGTTACAACACTACCGAGTAATATCATGTCATGATGCGAGGTGAAGCAATGACTCATCATTTGTACTATTGTAGATCGGACATCGTAGAACTCATCTGACACTTTCTTTTAAATTACTACAAATTGCAAGCCAATGCAAAATGTAGAGACAAGAAAGGCTATATAATTTAGTAAAAAATCTGTCTATCTATTTTTAGTTAATCACGAAATGAATCATGATTTATATAAATAAAGCCCTTAGTCACAACTTATTATTATTATTTTATTTTTTTGTTCAAACAATTTGACATATGTAATTATACAAGTGGAATGGTATATCATTACGAGATCTCGACGATGAAATCCAAGAGATTTTTGTTGCCTACAATAGTGAAGAATATTACTATTGATTGCCTTGGTTCAAGGCCCTATATTTGTCCTCGATCTCCCTTTCATTTAATAAATTACTATGCAGTGGTTTTGACTAGCGACACGTATCAAAAATCTAATCAATTTTAAATATTAGTCATTGTAGGTGCTTGGAGTATAGGAAACATACTTTTGGATTCCAAATGTGTCCTTGTCTCCTAGCTAATATGCTTTACATCCAATAATTTGAGTGCTTATTGTGGAAAGGATATTTGCTAATGGCTTATTGCACGATCAAGCATCTCTTTTGAGGCCATGTATATATAATTTTAAAGTGATTTTTCAATGTTCACTTGAACGAGATGTCATCTATAACAGTTGACGCGTCAGTGCTTTAATTTAATAGTAAAGATGCATTAGCACTTGACTTATATAAGGTAGGAAGTATTTTTTTCTAACTTCGTTATAGTCTATCATTAGCAAGTTGTCGCAGTTTGTCGACTTGAAGGATTTAGCACTTGTTTGGGCTCCATTAAAATGTAATTTTTGAAAAAATATATTTTGGAATAGTGATTTTTTGGAGAATGTATGATTGAAAAAGAAGGAAAAGATTAGATCTACGTGTAATATTACTTTATTGAAGAGTGCGATTGAAAAGAATAAAGAAAACATGCATAAGACAGTTGATGACGACCTTAAATCTTTCTTTAAGATAAGTGGGATCTATTAGTTTCCCAAACGTGAAATGAAAGGGGACACAACTATTCATTAAACAAATATATTAAATGAGGAGCAAAGGATCTTAAGATTATGCTAGATGTACATTCGATGGTTTACACACGGGGTTACACCCCTCTCACATGGAGGGGGCCCACGAATATTTTATTGTGTGTGGGCCCCTCTCCATATGATGGGTGTGTAATCCAATGTGTAAATGATTGTGTACATCTAGCATAATCCAAGATTTTAATAAAAGTGGAAATAGCGTGCGTGTATCTTTGCTTTCTAATAGTTTGTCAAACCTATTCACCATTACTTTTTCTATACATTTACACTATACGAGTTATTAATAGAAGTACTGGGCATAATTTATGAAAAAATGTTAGCACGTCGATGCCATTTTTGTTGACTTCTCAAACTTTCAATAATGTTAATTGTCACCGAGACGATAGATTTACAAAATAAAATAACATTCATGATATCGTCTTTTTAATAATGATCACTGACTTTTGAAAGTTAAAATTAGTTTATTCGATTGATTAGGTAGAAGGTAGATGCGAGCGGAGTGACGGTAACAAAATTTTCTTATTTACGTGTAAACAATTTACGAAATTTCATTTTCATCATCAATGTTGGGTAGTGGAGAAATTTGATTGTCTCCAAACTACATTAAAAAGGTTAGCACAGCCTTGCCCAGCTGTAATTTGTCCACGATTCAATGAAGAGAGTGGATTTTGGTGGGAGCATTACATCCAGTTATTCAATAGTTATGTTGACGAAATCAAAAGCAGCAAAACGTAATACAAGTCAAATTAATTAATGACTAATCTTCATTTTTAAGGGAACTGTTAAACAATTTACTGGAACAGCCGCTGTGGTAGGGAGAAGTTCTTGAAATTCTTCTGTTAAACCCAAAAATAACCGTCAAAGCACGTGATATCAGGCGCAGGGAACGGTGGAAAAAAAATTATGTAAAAAATATATATTTAAAAGTATGTTATTTATTTCCACAAATGGCGAGTGGTTAACATCTCTGCCGTCGATTTCATTTCCATGAATGCCGAGTGGACAAATCCGAGGGTTAAATTTACTAATGACCACCTATCTTTATACTTGGTATCACCATTGCCACCTAATTTGATTTTATTTCACTATAATTATCCAATTTCATGTAACGTTATGCTACGATCATCCAATTTCATATAACGTTTCATCATGGTCACCCAACTTCTTTTTACCACTTTCATTAAATTTAAAAAAGATAAAACTGTAACTTTGCATTATATATATAAAATAAATTTAAAAAAATTAAAATAAAAACTTATTTAAAAGACGTTAATTGAAAAATAAAATAAAATAAAATTTTAAATTTTTTAAAAAATGTTAATTAAAAAACTAAAATAAAAACTTATTTAAAAAACCTTTTTAAAATAAAATAAAAACTTAGTTTCAAA